AAATCACTGATAAATCTCCACGATTTTAGGTAAGAAGTTAAATATAAGAGAAAAGTTTTAATGAAAGTTTATATAGCTCAGGCGTTTTGGTTGAGAATCAACTTAAAAGTTGTTATGATATCCATGATCTCGACCTCAACATTATGGATAGAATGGATTTCATGTTTCCAAAATGTGATATCGTCTGTGTTTAAGTGTTCATAGTTCTATCACATCTGTATTATTTTTTAAGTAAATTTTACAATAAGAATGTGATAAACTCTTGGGCCATTTCAAGCGCCGAAACTATAAGTGGTTTCTACATAGTGATTAGTTTTATCATAAATCCCAGGACTTACACTAATTGCGCCTATTTACTTATTTTTCCAATAATTAACTAGTGCGCATTCATTTATTAACGAAATATTACACGCGCCAAATTTCCCTTCCTAATGCTTTCGTTCTTGTGAAAGCCTCCTATGTCTACAAATCAAATAGCGTTTCCATATAATTGCTTTGTTTTTGAAGTTAGGTTGCCTGAAAGGTCATAGTTACAAAGACATGGCCTTCTCTTATTAATTGTTTTCACAATTTTCTGTCCAAGGGATTAGGTTCAATTATTGTGTTCCCATTGTGGAATCGGACGTGATTGACGATGTTGGCTCTCGTAATGGCACTCCAAAAATAAATGTACTACATGGGAAACTTCTTAGAAATGTCCCTAACACCCCAAATCACTATGAAACCCTCAACTCTTAAAAGAGGACCCGGGTTTGATTAGTCTAGTGTTTTAGACCCTAGATCAGGCAAGTGAATTAACCATTTAGAAAACTGGCTTGGATCGGTAAATAATCAATTTGGATTGACAAATTAGGCCGATTATTTGATATGAAAATCATCCCAAAAAAACTAAAAAAATGAATAATAAAAAGCTAAAAAAAATAAAAATGAAATAATGTGGGACCAAGCAATCCAGCTAGTTTGGATAACCCTTTTCCCTTATAAAACTGGGAGATTTCAAGTGAACTAGATCGATTCTAAGCTCCGAAAGGGATTCGGGTCAATCTACACCAATACCTGATTTAGATAGCTCATTTTTTAAACACTGCTTTAGTAATTTTCTCCACTCAAGGAGTGATTTTAGTTGCCAAAAAGAGGGATTATACAAGGCGACAACCTTATCTACAAAAGTATAATTGAAGTAATCAATATTATGTAGTTAGTATAAATTTGACATTGTTTTAAAAGATATATCGTATTTGTATTGTTTCTTAAGTTGTGACAAGTCTATATTATCCAACTAAAATGGATGGTATACTACAACCTTACTTCTATAAGTAATGTCGCTTTTATGTAAATTGCTTTACTATAATTAAATGTAGTAAAATATAGAACTACAAATATAATTCAACTGGAAAAATACTGGGAAATTCACATACAGCTAGAAAAGATATATTATTACTACATGCCCAATATTTTGGAACATATTATGTTGAAGCCTTGCATGAGAGTTTTTTATCCCCATTATTATGTCAGCTAGGAAGTCAAACTTTCAAACTATCCAAAATACAAATAACTTAGTATTTGTGATTCAAAAGTCCAAACTTTCAAATCACCTGGAGCATTTGTTCAAGTAGTTTGGGAGTCCAACAGCTTTGGATGGTCCAAAATACAACTTTCCAATCACCTAAAAAAAAAAAAAAAACTAAGTGTAGGATAGTTATGAAGTCCAACTTTCAAGACTAAGGATAAATGGAAATTAAAAAACTAAAGTAAGACCTCATATTCTATTGCCAAAAAATTGTCCATCAAGTAATATATATCTTTTTTGGGTCAATACATAAAGGGTGTGGTTTCTATAAGGTTGCAACCTTAAAACAATCAAATTAAGG